TAGGGTTGGGGTTAGGGTTGGGGTTAGGGTTAGGGTTAGGGTTAGGGTTGGGGTTGGGGTTAGGGTCGGGGTTGGGGCCGCTAGTTTTCCAAAGCAAGAAACAACAATAAGAATTTCAAAGAACTAGAATCTCAGTTCTACGATTATGGCATTTCACATCCATAAGTATTATTAAAGTACAACAAACATTGTAATCATTAAGCTTTCATTGAATTCTCTGTTAAGTATGCTTTTTCGCCGTGTTTCCAAGGTATGGAATATTCCAGTTTTTCCACTGTCAATCGCTTGGGGATAGCTACCATCACCTATCTTGTTGAAGTTTAAAACAATGTTCTTGGGTTGCCTCAAAATGCTCTCTGGAAAACATGGCTGCAGTGTTTATATCGACCGCTTTTATTGGCAAAGGTAAGAATTTAAGGGGTTTAGCTGTAATGCGCTGCCGTTGACAAAGTGGGAGCAATAAAGACTTTGATTCAGACTACACAGCTTCTTTAGTATTATGTTATCACCATCATCAGTAAGGACACAACTCAAGTGTGTTCCTCCTCGTCGACCCCTTCGTGCTGTAGATGGAACCTTCATTTCCAGGGAGATTGCGACCCGGAGGCAGACCGAAACAATCGAAACGCCAATGGTGTCATTATCCCACAGCCATTACAATGTGCTCTGCTTTAACTTCATAGTGATAAGTACAAGCAACAAAGACGTGTCTATGAACACTTTGAAAGAGAGCTTTGTAGCAGGTTTCCACATCCCTGACACATCAACATGACCCTAAAGTCCCAAATCTGGCATTAATCTTTAGAAAAGTATCAGGAGTTGGTTTCTTAATAGGGCTTAAGAGTCTCAAATAGCTATTAGTTAAACTCTGCTCACGGGTTAAGAGGAGATTTATGTTTAAAGAAATAATCAGAGGCTGTTCCTTAATTGAATTGTCCGGCAGCCAATATGACATATATTAACTGACCTTATAGTCCTCTTCATAAATCACTGAGCCCAATCATTTTACATTTAGATCACTTGGAGCTGAACTAATCAGTAATCTCATTTTAAAGTGGATTGGTTGCAGTTTTGCACGGAGCAGGTTGGCAGAAGAGAGCCCTCGTGTCCGCACCGCTGCTCCAGAGTATGCTGCGTGTTATAGAGCAAGGTTAATTAAGGTTAATTCTTCCTATTAGGACAATATGTGTGGGTGCATGTGAGACCCTTTGTCATCCTATATTACTTTCTTGTCGACTGTCTGTTTGTTTGAAGCATATTTAAAATGGGAATTGACTTTAAAGTAGACACAAAGCAAAAACAGAAACGTTTAAATTATGAGTTTTACTTTCTATGAAGTCTAAAATTCATTATAAACATATTTCACGTGCAATGTATGGAAGAGGATTAAAGCCATATTGTGATTTTTTTTTAGATCAAACGAGATTTCTGAGACTTTTTCTAATTGATTCAGACTGTTTTCTCGGATGTCTTTGGTTACACAGGATGTATCAACGTATTTTGGGAAGTATCAACTGTTTAGGTGGAGTTTTTTTCCACATATATGTCAAGAGGGAAGGCAAGTTTATGTATATACAGTAGCACGTTTCAACACAAGGCAATTCAAAGTGCTTTCCAAAAATAGACAAACAAAAAAAAAACATTAATAGCAGTTCAGGAGAAACATATTATAAAATGGTATTTAAAAACACTCATTTAAAAGCAAAGACACAAATGTAATATGTATATGTCCGTCGTTTAGTTGTTTACCATCAACAAATGAACAGAAATTTGATTAAAATAATTGTTTGTGAATATTAACCCAATACCTTAATTTCACAATCATGTGTTTGATGTTGTTAACACAACTTGCAATGTATTTAATTCGCCTTAAGCTACAAATAAATACATAAATATAACACCTACGGGAACGATATAACACTGTGATCTTGTTAAAAACTAAAAGAGAGTGTGTGAAAGGTTTTTATAACACTTCACCTTATTATTCATTGTAAATTGACTTTTAATGTGCTATGATTTTTCCTGATTAAGTTTAAAGGACGTTACTTATTATACAGAACTATAGGCCGATACGGGTATGTTCATAGGCATGGGCGTTATAGAAACTGCTGTGGAGTTATCATACAATCATACTTTAGTTGTTGTTTTAGTGGAAATGGAACAAGATAGATAGGAAGTACTGATTGCTTTTTGATGCTATGCTAATTTAATAACGTTGCCATGTTACTACAAATTGCTATAATTGATTCGTGTGTACGGTTTGATTGACATTACGGTACAAAATATAATTACATGGGCTTAAAGTAGTTGCCATAAGAACATTTATCTTTCCCCCTCCAACGAGAGTTATCAATGAGGCTTCCATTTGATTTGTGAATTAGATTTGCTGAGGTCTCACCAGGATATACACCATTAGTGCAGCTAGTTATTGGAAGCGGTAATGACCTGCTATTGTTTCCATCAATTGTCAAATGAAATTGTGTTCAATGTAACATTACCTCTGGTGTCAGGACCATAGCAGGGATAGCTTTGTTGTGTGCTGTGGTGATGGGCACGATGAATGAAAGGTAACCGGAGCTATTAAAATCCTTCATGTGTGACCCGCCACAGCAGCACTCTGCTTAGCGGCTGCAGATTGCTGTGGTCACTATTGATACGCACCGTTTTATGTTTTCTTAGATTGCTTTCGCTCATGCAGGCTTCCAATTCATTATGTGGAATATACAATTACTAGCTCAGGGGTACCAGTATCATTGGTCGTGATATTTTTTTCATTTTCGTCCCTGAACTGTGTCCTCAAGCAGAATGCAATAAAATGGGCAGGTATGACTGTTTGTCCTTTGTCACATTGCAGTTCACACGCCCCCACTGAATTGATCTTTTAAAATCAGGGAAAATAAATTAACGGTTACACTAGGGCTGCTCAATTAATCGTATTTTGATCGCAATATACGATGTTGGCTTGCAACGATTACGAAACAACATAATCAAAATAAAACGTTTTTTTTTTTTTTTTTATATTTGTTTTAATTATTGGTTTTTCAGTTAATTATACTTAAGTTCATGGTAATCAACTGTTAAAACATACTGTCACATTTTTTTTTTCAATAAATTGTGTTTTCAAAGTAAATGGATAATCGTTTTTAATAATCGTGATATCAATTAATTGACCCAAATAATAGAGATTATGATTTTCTTGCCATAATGGAGCAGCCCTAGCGTACAGATATGTGTGGCATTTCAAATCCGTGTCTACATTTAATAGCCACTTTTCTGTCGGGGTTCTGTGGGTGTTGTGTACGCGAGGCGCGTGCGGTCTTTGTTTCCAAATAAATTTAGCGCGAGGATCGTTGGTTGAATCAGATGAGCTTTATCCATTGGTCCAGACGGCATAGAAACAGGAGACACTGTTGAGATTTGATGGGAATATATGTCCTCATGTATGTGGTACTGTACTGTTCCATGGGTGTGGCAATGTTGTGCTCTGTGCCACAGTGAGGGCGCAAGGGACAAGGGGTAGTAGATGCAGCCTGCGGCCTCCTATAGGCCTCAATCACAGGGTCTGATTGCCAGTGCGTAAGATGGGTAAAGCCGAGTTCGATCCAAAGTGGAGGCGTGTCACCGTGAGAGTGGATGTCTGTGACAAGCCTATTACTACTAAATATAATGCCAGCTTGGCTAAATGGAATTTACATCGGTCCGTGTTTGTGATGTTTTTTTTTTCTCCGAATTACAACGTTAAGTGCAGAAACTAGTTAGCTGAATAAATAACAAGAGTTAATGGCCCAGGGATTCGGTCGGAGAGAAAAGGAGTTTGTCGGTTGCTACAACACACAAGATGGTGGATAGTGGCGAACAAAAACAGGTAAAATTAATTGTCTTGGGTACAACTTTACAGTGCATAACGAAATTATTTGTCATGTTAAAGTAGACTAGGCAAGGAGGAGCAAGCTTCAGGCGTATCTATGGATTTCTGATATTC